CAATAAATCACCCTCCTGTTCCCTGTTACGCGTGGGAAATGTGTATGAAATGATTTTGAAAATATACATAGTAAGTTTATATAATAGAGTATAAATAATATACATAAGAGTTTCTGCGTGGAATGCAAGTTAAGAATACAACTATTCGTGTATGACAGTACCCATTTTTGCCTATCCTTTCAATTTGAAGGCGCGTCGTTTCACAAAATTCTTGGCGCGTGAAGTTTATTCTTTCTCCGTGTTCGGGCTTTTTCTGAAATAATTAAATCTGAACTGTGTAGGTTTGATGACGCCATTCTGCAACTTTAGTCGGACACTTACACTAAACTTTACACGAACTAACTTTCAACAATTCTTTGTAAGTTTCCTCGATAATTTGCTTGTAATACATTAGTAAGTTGGTGTTGCTTAATTAGATTTTCCATCATAATATGCCGTAGTATATTTTCAAAAAAAAGTCTGATTACGGGGTCAAAGAGATTGAATTTTGCATTTCCTTGAGATATTTTGCGAAGAAATCATGTGGGAACTAACTATCTTCAGCATTGTGTCTTTTCCCACCTGTGGTCTGTTTCATTTTGTGCAAGTTGTTTCTCAAGTAAGGAACAGTCTTGAATTGTTGATGATAATTCAAATTAGTGAAAAGGATGGTCGACTTGATGTTGTGTAGTTTATCGGAAGAAATCTCATAGTCAAATCAGATTTTTAACATCAGTACTTTTAAGATATAGGTAATAGAGGCACTGGTATTAAACGTCTAATTTTTTGTTTGTCATTCAAATACCTTGGTTGCAGCCAAACAGTAAATATCACAATGATTAAACCAAAAATTTAAAGGACATCATTTTCTTTTTCTTTCTTAATTTAGAAATTAAGTTTATCCCATTAAGTGCGGCAACATTGCTTTATAGACTGCACCTAACGGCAAAAACAAATAATTCGCATTTAGCACTTGCAAGGTGCAATCGACGCGCGTGACAGCCGATTGCAGCGGACCCAGGAGAAGTTATCGCCTCTTTCATCCGTCCGCGCTGCGTCCGTCACTTTCGTCGGCTGCGTCGCGACGCCGATGCCGGCCGCGTTGCACAACCCTGCTCGTCGCACAGTGGCTCGAGTCAGTAGGAGAGATCGGACAAAACTTGGAAACTCTGAAAGCTTATGACTCCGTTAACACAATACTTTGAGGTTCTAAAAGTGGTTCAATTGGTTTCCTCAAGATTTTTTTTTGTTTTTTTGAAGCACCCCTTGAAATGTAAAATGTGACAAAATAAACATAATAATTTATGGTTTTAGTTAAAAATTTCATGTCCGACCTCTCTTATTGACGCGATCCACTGTGCGCCGCACAATGAAACAAGTCAATTAGAAAGGTTGGACATGAAATTTTCGACTAAAACTGCAAATTTTGGTGTATAATTCGTCACATTTTTAATTCTAAGGGATGCCTCCAGCAGAAAATTTTACGAGGAAACCTATGGAACTACTGTTAGAGCCTCAAAGTTTTGTATAAACGGAGTTATAAGCGTTCAAAGTTTCCAAATTTTGTCCAAACTCCCCTATTGACTCTAGAGTACCTGTAAACGGGAGAGTATTGCCATCTCAATCCTTTTACTCCAGAAAAAGTGAACTGTTCTCTCGTTGGTCGGCTGTCATGGAGCCCCAAAGTTGGACCAACGTAAACAAACCCCAGCCCCTCCGCTCTTAGTTTGGCCCAATGTGAACGAACAAGATGGCGACAAAGTTCTGCAAAGTTCTAGACGTGATTTTGGGTGTGATAGAAATTTTTTTATGATCAACTTCTGAATTGAGTTCGGATCGGCTTTTACTGGATATTTTTGCCGAAAATTAACCTTTGAGTGTGAATATCACTCATTTTTCAGCCGATAGTACGTATTTCTCTGGGTCGGATTTGTTTACATTGCACTGGGGAAATAAAACACATTGGATGTATAGTCCAGACTCTTAATAACATCGACAAGAAAAAATACTCTTGATTCAATGAGATTTAAGCGTAAATCAAGAACTAAGCCTCTTAATTTGAGCGGATTTCCTTTTGATTTAAGCTTAAATCTGCTTGAATCAAGAGTCCTTTTTCTTGTCAATGTTTTCGAGAGTCTGGACTCTCGATCCAATGTGTTTTTTTTTTTCCAGTGTGGTCCAACTTTGGAACTCCATGATAACCTAAACCTGATGAACCAATCAGAGAGCGGCACAGAGATGGCAACGCTCTCCCGTATACAGGTGCAATAACTGACTCGATCCACTGTGCGCCGCCGGCGCCGCGGCGCTTGTCACCTCACGCGACGCGGGGCTTTCTGCAGGACCCCGAAAACCCCGGTTTCGCGCAATTTCTGCGACGCGGAAAACGACCGCCGAGCGAGGACCTGCGCCCGCTAATCTTACTCCGGGCTTATTCTTGCGAGTTATAGATATCACGCGATTTTATGGCGCCCGTCGATTTTATTAGACATTGTTTCTGAGTGTTTGCTAGTAAATTTGTATCTGACCTACCGGCGAATTACGTCGCTCCAACTGGCCCATCTGTTGATGCGTTTAACCTACTTTTTATGGTGCCTCAATCTTCTTTGGCGCAGATGAAAGCGTTGTGTGAAAGTTTCTGAAACCTATCTAGCGATGAAAATGTGATGCCTGCAAGACTTTCATGACCGTTTTGTTTAAAAAAAAAAAAAAAAAAAAAAAAAAAAAAAAAAAAAAAAAANAAAAAAAAAAAAAAAATATGAGGGATTTGCAAGTGATTTTAACGTGAAGTTCGGTACATCGCTTGAAAACTACAGATAGAGTTTAGAGGAGATTGTAAAAAAAAAACTGGCCGAGTTAGTTTTATGAGAATCGTGTAAGAATTAAATAAACAATTAAGTGATATTGAGGATGGAGTGTGATTGTAATAATGATCGTGTATTCTAAGCCTACTGGATGTTATAAATCATGGTCGTTTTACTTTTTTTGTTTTTGCAAAGTACAAATACTTTTTCACCACTTTGCCATAAAAGAGGATCATGCTATTTTTTCATGGAAATTAATATACCCCAATTGAATCAGTGAGAACGAAAACACACCAACTCGAAAAATTGAAAATAATCAAGACGTACCCAAAACTGCACAGTAAGTGAAGAAGTTAGTCTAGGAAAAAAATTTTTGGTGCCGAAAGACAGGTACTTAGAGGACATTTTAAAGGTCCAAGTTGGAACTGATGCACTACCTTCAATGACTTTTATGAAAATTGAGTGTCTTTACTAAAAAATTGATCATTTTTGAGTCACCGAGTTGGTGTGTTGTCGTTCTCAATGATTCAATTGGACCTCAGAGTGTTATGACTATATGACCTCTCCTACGAAGACATCATCTCCCTCGCATTACTTGCTATACGATGGCAATTCTTCCTGCAGTGTATGTATGATATGTTGGGCCAATAAAGCTGGTTATGCCTTGTTTTGGTTGCAGATAGGCGTGCTCGCGATGCTGATACTTGGAGCTGCGGCGACCCCTCTGCCTGGACACGCATTCGGCGAGGAACCGGACGAGGAAACGGAACAACACGTAAGACGCGTAGACACATTAACACATTTCAACACGCCCCATAAAACCTGCTCTAGCACATTTATTAGAGGTGGTGACAGATGCCCCGGCTGAGGACCGCCTACCGCCCCGGCGACCGCAGCCAGGGAAATGCAACGCAGAAAATTCAATTTTCAGTCCGCGTAGTACTACTCTGCCTCGCATGCAGCTCAGTGCGATGCCTACTTACACACTTTGCGTCGTCAAGTTGTAAATTTCGAGAAACTTCACGGTCAACGTACGAAAAAGAATAAAGGAGTCGTAATTATCGTCACGTTCCGGCCAAAGTATTACAAGCGCCATGCGGCGTTTAAAAATTCCCGTCATTTTATTTCTTTACGGAGGAATTGTTCAATGAAGCCATCTGAAAATTTCACTGAATTCTCTTGGTGCTGCCGATATAATTCGATGAAATTTTCAAATAAATTCAACCAAAAATTTTTCGGTAAAAAAATAAAATGGCGGCGGAAATTTTGAAATGTCGCATGACGCTTGTGATAGTATAGCCGGAAGGTATATGCTGGCATAGCCCGCTTGGCACATTATTTAAGAGGTTCATAACGAGGGTTTCAATTCTTCTTTATTATTTTGGATGAAAATCACGTCACCAAAACGAAATGTATGTGTCACAGGCAACTGCCAATCGCCGGAATTTTATAAGCTGTTCGGATGACGTTTCGATGAATCGCAATAATGAGCATCAGCATCATGAAAGGTTTGGGATAATGTCGAAAAGGCCTTCAATAGTAGGATCCCCGAGCGCCTCATTGCTCTTTGAGCGCCTTCATTTCTTGCGATACTCTACGCTTTGTCACAGAGTTAGTTTAGTTGCATGTCCGATCTAAACCTAACTAGGATCACGGACTCCATTGCGGACACTCTCTTGAGAGTGTCTGCAACTACTCTTCTGTTTAAAGTGAGAGAAGGTGTGTGTTCACACTGAAAGCTATAAATAAGCAGTACTGTAATCGTGTTCCTTTAGTCCTGAAATTTATGATTTTATATTTATTCATCTGTAGCTTGCAAACTGCTAAACGGCTTATGTTTATTTTGGCCATTTCACTGCTACTGGACATTTTAGACACTTGGACATATTTGCTCATGGAATTTTTTCACATTGGCCATTTTCTTACTCTGAAAATTGTATCCTATCACCGTTTTAGTCAAACATTTCTTGTCCGACCTCTCTAGTTGACTCGATCCACTATGCGGCGCCGAGCTTTATCTGCAACCGGACATACCGTCACCCTCTATCGTGAGGGCGTATGTATATTTCCACGTGAGCCCTGTTTTACGTAAAAAGCCATGGTTCCTGGAGCTCATGCAGAAATCGAGTTACGCCCTATAGCCAGAGAAACGACAACACATCCTGAGAGGCACCACGACTCGCGGCGAAACTGGGCATGTTCTACCGCAGCAGACGAAGAATCTACGACTGTTCCATTCCTGCATTTGTGACCATTCTCAACACTTCCCTGTTGCCAATCAGGGGGCCAGCCTGGTTATTCATCCTCGAGACACGACTCGGAATTCTGCCGGTTTGCCAACGCCCGGGCGGCACGCTTGCACGCGCTGTGACATTCTACGCGCGCCTGACCATGATGCAAGATGCAACTCCTCGCGCACACCCCGTGGTCCGTGTGTCCCATTATGAGCACGATCCCATTGCCAAACAGCACTGCCGAGAAAAGAAGACCGCAAATGTATGATATTAATTGCGGAATTCGAACGAGAGTGTTTACAAGTGTACGTGCATTTACAGAGTATGCTGCCGTGCGCTACACGGGGAAAAAACTTCGTGCATGGGACCCGAAGTTGAGGTCATATGGATCTCTGAAGTTTTCGGATCACGTGTCTAAAAACTTGAGGTCGAGCTGCCGAAGTTCGGGTCAGACATCTGAAGTACTTCGATATATACCGAAGGGTTCGGGTCACACATCTGAAGTACTCCGGTACATACCGAAATGCCTCGATGTCTGACCCGAACTTCGGCAGCTCGGCCTCAAGTTTTCGGATGCATGGTCAGAAAACTTCAGAAATCCATATGACCTCAACTTTGGGTCCCATGCACGAAGTTTCTTTCTCCGTGAAGGAATGGACGCCGTATGAACCTTCAGACGTTGCCAAGTTTCCCTCGATGAAAATCCAATTTACTGGGGAAATTATGAATATTTATTTCTAAAATTTTCAGAAGATTATGTAGTCTGCGGGCTGATTATTGAAATGGATAGAAAAACCGAAAGACGAAATCATAGACGAAGAAAACGATGGTATCATAGAGCGACCCTATTGGTTGAAATGGGTCGTTATAGACTAAACAGGGAAATAATGGACTAATTATGGGATCCCTTGTGGTTATCTCGTGGTCTACTTCTCACCTATTTTATTATTGCAATCACCCGCTTCCACCAGAAAGTTCTCCATTTTCTCTTTGTGTTCCTTGTCTATAGCTGTGTCTATCAATTTCAATAACCAGTCCGCTGGCGTGTCGATGAGTACTGAATGAGATTCATATCACCCTTGCAGAAAATACGGCTCAAAAATATTTATCTTCCAAGTGAGCACGTTCATTTGGCAGCCTTAACCAGATGATATGAACGAAGCCGTCATCGACTCACAACTTCTAGAACAGACATGAGACGTGCGTGCGGCACATTTCGGGGGCTTGAGTTTGAGTAATGAAGAGATCCAGCTCGAAATTGGCAGAGTTCTAAAGGCGGCAAGTATCGGAGATTAATTGGGCCCTCCTCCTTTCCTCTCACTTACCACCCTCCCCCGCCACCCCCGGGGCTTGAAAAATTGAAACTGCCGGTTTTCCGCACGCGTCCTCGCCCCCTCACAAGGTTGACGCGTATTCTACGGAAACGGACGTTTAGAACTGCCGAGTCGTTGAGCATATCACACAATGAAAAATATAAAATAAAAATAATAATATGCGCCTGCTGCAAATTAGAACGAAGCAAAAAGAAGAGTTGCTTTCTGTAGATGATGCTCAGAAATGAGCGCATTGATCGGGAAAGTCTAAAATACAATCCTAACATCACAATCTCCGTAAGGAATATGCGCTTTTTTAAGCTTCCCGCCTCAAAAACGATACTGTGCACATACTGCCGTGCTAAAGGAAAACGCCGTATGAACATTTGAGAGTTGCTAAATTTCCTTTGATAAAACATGTATTTATGGCAACATTCTTGGATGTTTTTCCTTGAAATTTGCAAATATTTTATATTAAATTGCGCACGAAATTGTCTGAAAATTTTGGAAAATAATATTCACAATTTTTTCAGTAAATTTGGTTGTTATCGAAGGAAATTTGGCAACGCCTAATGGTTCATACGGCGTTCTTCCTCAGCACGGCAGCATAGGTGAACATTTCTTAAGAGGATGTCGTTCCATCCAACTCTTGCGCACTAAGTTGCTACGCAATATTCAACATAACGCTTGCGCTTCCGCGCACAATTCGTGAAGGACCTAGAACCACTATGGTCTTTATCAACATGGGGGAAATGTGAATATAAACACGTCGAATGATAAAATCCTGTCTCATAACGTGTGTTTTGAGGGGTTGGCATCGGCCACGCCGAATATCATGTAGCAAACGTGATTTGATTATTTCAAAATGAATTGACAAATCATCGCTCCTCTGACCTGACGTAAAAGACGTAGCCCGATTTTCACGTGAGTTCTATTCTACGTATAACTCCACGCTTTCCGCGGCTCATATGGAAATAAAGATAGGTCCTTATGTCAAAGTAGCGACGATATTTGACCACAATCAGCTTAAATACATAAGATGTTCCCTATAATTTCTCTAATGTTAAACCTTTATAGCAGAGTATTAAAGCAGAATTCTGACTTAAAAATTTGCGAGTAAATTCTCCTTGAATTAAGGAAACTTTAAAAGGAGTTTCAAGATGTTATGATATTTTTTATTAAACCAAAATAATTTTACGGGAATCAAGTTTCAAAACCGCTGCATCGTTTAAACATCGCCCGAGTCTCTAAATCGTTGCAATTAAGATGCATATTTGCCCTTTAATTGTGGTAAAAACCGGGCGACGACCGTTAAAATAAATGACTCGCGGTTCTAATTTTGCGGCAATTTCAGCGTCGCGCAAGCCAGGGAAGAGATCGCGGTTGAAAGTCGAATAATCTCCATAGTCTAATGTTCTTTCAATCCAGGTAGCGGCAATGTGCCTATACCCGTGGTCGAATAGTTATCGCAAATAACTCTCGCAGTGCATTTGGTGCAATGCGAGAAGTATTCACGCAGGCTTGTAGGCGCTGATACGCGTCGGACACCAATCGTACTATTTGGCGCAATGCGCGAAGTATTTCTGCAGTCTTGCAGGCGCTGATATGAGTTGAACGCCACGCGCCGCGCCGACCGCACTGTGTTTGGCGATATTTTTCGCATTAGGATAATCGCGGCATCGACCAATAAGGCTTAAAAGGCCCATATTGTATTCCGACGCCGTATGAGCATTCCAACCTTGCCTCGTTTCTCCCGATAAAATATTTTTTCTGAGAAAAGTTAGGCAAGTTCTCTACGTTCGCTTTTTTAGATTGAACGGACCATTCAGTTGGACTGGCTCCTCACCAAATATACCTGGATTGAAGCGAATGATTGTAACTGCAACTTTGTAACAAGAGGACGAATCTCAGAGTATCGTTCTTTTCCAGCCTGCTATTGACAGAAGGCGTTTGTTTATTTGTTCATTTTTGACCCGCTTTTTGTTTTTCTTGGCGCCAAGTCCGCCAACATTCGGTCTTGATCCAAACACCAAACGAAGCGTGATAGTATCATCCATGATCGAGCAACAACAGGCGAAAATACTTCAAGGATGGGCAGTTGAATAAATTTGTTCATAGAAAAAATGGATAGTCTAAAATTGAACTTAGTTTCATATTTTTGAGTCTGTCCAGTCTTCAGAGAAGTTTTGACGGATTTGTAATGAATTTTGAGAGAATTTAAACATTGGCTTTTAAAGAGATCTTTGCACTTGTTACTGCCACCATAAACATCACTAAATAAATTACGAATGGCGCGACAAATTCCTTAGAATTTCGGTACACTAAGTTAAGCACGTGGTATATTATTATGTACTACATTCCTGCGAGTTTGTATGGATTTGGATAATAATCGGTTCAATTATTCAGCAAAGGTATAAAAGGAGGAAAGGCAGTGTTGCCACAGAGACGGATCCAGCAATTTTTTCTTTTTTGAAGGACTTTTATTTAAATATAACTTAACTACTACAAGTATTTCCGTGTGTCTATCTACATGGTTTAAAACTAAAACTAAACGAATTGGATTAATTTTACAGGGTAACGTTATGTAATACGATGACTGATCCAGCAATTTGGCAACACCGAATTTACTCCATTTAAACCTATGCTAGATAATCGATTCTTGTCGGAGCACCTGGCCCCTCTAAGAATCGATACGTTTTCATAGGTTTAAATGGAGAAAATCCGGTGTTGCCGAATTGCTGGATCCGCCAATGCGTTGGCAAGCTGTTGGGTCTGCCTCTATGCTCCTCGGTTATTAATATATGTGTGTTGGTGGTTGCAGCCGCCCTCGGCCTACAAGTTCGACTACTCGATCCACGACCCGAACACGAACGACATCAAGTCCCAGTGGGAGCACCGCGACGGCGACCTGGTGAAGGGGGCCTACAAGCTCCTGGAGCCGGACGGCAGCACCCGGCTGGTGGAGTACACGGCGGACAAGGACAACGGTTTCCACGCCACCGTCACGCGTGAGGACGGAGATCGGGAGCCCCAGGAGCCCCCCTCCGGCTCGGCCTTCCCCTCGGGCCTCGACGACTACTGACCCGCCAGATCGGATACCGACCGTGGGCGATTCGCCCGCAGCAGTCGTCAACGGTGAGTTCCCACATTACCTAACCTCAGAGACTCAAGGTGTGCACACTGCACCTGAGACCAGAGACAAGAGACCAGAGACAAGAGACCCTCCACTGGCCTCTTCGCGACAGGTGGAAGTTTTTACTTTCGGGGTTTCAATAATGCCGTATGGGCAATTATTAGGGAGCAACAGTCATCACCCTAATTTCGGCTGTTGACCTACCTACATGGTCGATGATGAGCTTCGGGTTACGTCATGAGCCAAACAAGTTTCCTAAACTTCGGCCATTTTCGGCTTGTTTGCGAAACGAAACTGCCAACACGTTGTTAGACATCAACCATGTAGGTAAGTCAACAGTAGAGTGCTGAAGTTCCGAAAGTAAAAGCTTCCACCATGGCCAAGATACTAGTAGAGAGTCTCTGTCTCAGGTGCAGTGTGCACACTGCACCTGAAGTGCACCAGTTGAATGAATTGTTAAATGAACTGTGTACCCTTATTACTTACATGTGTCACTATTACTGCTCCTCAGAGCTGGTGTTGCCTATCTTATGAATAAAGGGAAATCCACACGAGTCCAGAAGTCCTCACCCATCCATCATTAACTGGTCGGTTATTTCTTACTTTCTTATAGGGTCTCTTACAGATTTGTTTTTATTTAAACTTTGCCTTTACAGGCTGAGCATTCGCAGAGCCACCGAGAGGAACTAAATATATTGGCGAGTAAACTTAAAACTTCGTACAAATGACTCTAATATAAGTCTCCTTATCTTAAGCTGACTGCAGTGCTACTTAATGAAAAAATTCTTCTTGAAACAAAGTTTCATTTAATCTTGTTCTCTGTTCCAGTGTCTCTACCTATTTGATGGGAAGTAAGTTTCACCGATCCTATGCGTGAACATGTTCATGAAGTAAATAACTATCATTGCTCAACCGTTAAACTACTTACAGAAATTACTTAAATGGGACAACTTCAATTTTTTTTTGAAATTTCATCAAACGTTGTCTCTAGGTACATGATAACAGATGGTCAAATTATTTTATACCAGACTACAAAAACTAACTTGAACAAAGAGCTGGCTCTGGAAAGGGAGTCTATGTACTTATGCCATGACCTAAAATACAATTGTAAATGCAACAATGTAATAATTGCTTAAACGACTGAAAATTACTAGACGCACTCTCTTTTTTAAACATTGACTGATCTTTAATACATGAAACAGTTACACTCAAGACAAGAAAAATTTGCAAATTGTACAATTACAATTTGCAATTTACAAATTGAAAAATTGAACTGAAAAAGAGTATTATTTTTAATTAAGAAAAAAAACCAATTATGTCGAAACACTAAACTGTTAGTTTTACGAAATTCTCCATCACAAAACGTAGCAAGTGCTTGAAACAGGGGTGGCAGAAAAAGCTTGCAATTTTATAAATACTGAAGACATTTTTTTTTTTTTTACATTTTGTAAATCATATCGCAATTTTATGAGAAGCTGCTCAGAATATATTGCTGAGTACGCACTGCCAAATTTTCAACTTCTATCTCAATCATGATATGTAAATTACTTGGGAAACTTTTTTCAGGACCGGGAAAATGACATATTATAAGCCATAAACTCATTTTATGCTTTGCTTTAAAATTAAGGGGAATCGGCGTTTTGGGCTCTTCGTGTAAACAACTCTGTATGAAATCTAATAAAAAAATTATTAAATTAAAATTGAAAGCAATTTTACGGCGCTAATTTGCTTTAAGGGTGGGAATTTTTTTTGCTGTCAATTTGCTTCCATTTTTTATACTTTTATACTTTACAACCGTATATTGGACTGGTTTAGGTAAGTGTAGATATTCTACTTTTTCAAGTCTATGAAACGAACAAATTGAACTAGTCTTGCATTTTTCATAATATACAAGTGCTACATAATATTTAGGTGCGATAATTTCAAGAAATTTGTTATTTTTTAGTGCAAACTGATCATTCTTTCAGAGACTGTCCTCGGCATTGGGTTCCAACGTAAAATCCTCCTGGATTTGTTTTGGAGAAAAATAAAACTTTCAAATCTAGGTCACGAGAATTTTACGAGAGTGAAAGTTTTGGTAAATCATAGCAGACACCACTTCAACATCATTGAAAATAAACAAAACTTTTCACTCAGGTAAATATCTGAGGCAGTTTCTAAACGTATGATCTATGTTTGTGCTTGGAATTCCAATTGATCCAGTTGGTAATTTTTTTTATATTTTAGTAGTAAGGTGTATAGGTACTTAAGTTTTTCTTTGAAACAAGTAGGAAAGTAATTAGTTATGTCACAGAAACTACACTTTTAATTTTTTACTTTATTTCATAGATGTGTGAAGAATGAATTTTAAGTTTGTAAGTAATTTTCTTAGGGGAAAAATGATATGCAGTTTAATGCATTAAACTTCCGTAAACCGAATATCAATATTTTTTTATGTTTGTGCTTCCATTACATACGCCGTTACAGGCAATTTGGTTTATGTTAGTTTTTGAGTATATATGAATACTAGAATTAAACTTTTAGTACCTGTAAATAGAATAATCATTCAAATAAGTTCCTATATAATGAAATAATTGCCTTTTTCCAACTGATTACATTGTTGGCTGTATTTTTGACGGTTTTCACCAGCATTCTGAACAACGAATACTTGTTTTGTGGGCGCATTATTATTTTCTTTCTCTTTATCTTTTTCTTCTTCCTTATTAATTGATCTAATTCATACTTTTTCGTTCGAATGATCAATAAAAAATTTTAAAATGCATTCTAATTTTATTCATTTCCCTCCAAAGAAATCTGTAAAATCTATATAAAAAACCCGGAATAATTACTGACGAATGTCAGGGCGATTGCTTCGATCGGTGAGTTTTTGCAAATTAGGTTAAAATTGCTAACCGATTGTTCGACACTTTTTGGTCATCATTCATCATTAGGCAAATCTTAAAGTCGACTTCCAAAACATGTTGCGCCAAAGGGAGGATGAAAGTATGTATGGAAAAAATTGTTGAACGATACGGGCATTAGCAAGTAATTGTGGTGGCACCCCAATTAATTGCGGCACTACCCCAATAAATTAGGTTACTGACCCAAATGTTGCAGTGCAACCACAAATAATTGGAAATGTCCACATCATCCAATGAATTGGGGTGGTGCCATAATTCTAGGGGATAATCCCTAACACTTTTTACCGTGATGGGGTCTATAAATATACCTACAATGGAAAAAAAGTCGGCCATGTGAACCGAACGCTCGGTGTTCCATATCATCGGTTAGTACTTTCAGTTCGTGAAGCCGAACCAGTGGCGTGTCGTGCTTTGGGATGCATCGATTGTTCTGCCATTTAAATCTATGGTAAAGAATCGATTATCAAGGTGTTCGCAGCGAACGCCCTGATTATCGATCCTTTTCCATTGGTTTAAATGGCATGACAATCGATACATCGCAAAGCACGCCACGCCACTGAGCCGAACGTTCGGCATACGCGACCAAACTTCGTCCATCAGTTCACTTTATCGCACAAATTCGGTTACACGAACCGAAAGTTCGGTTTGATAAACCGAAAGTTCGGTTTGATAAACCGAAAGTTCGGTTTGAAAAACCGAAATTCCAGTTTGACAAAGCGCATTCCTTGAGATGATATGGAACACCGAACTTTGGTACACACGACCGAACTGTTTTTTTCAGTGATATTTTCGATTTATTTTAATACGTCAGTTTATCTCTGCACTGGGAAAAAAACACATTGAATCTAGAGTCCAGACTCTTAAAAACATCGACAAGAAAAAACTCTCTTGATTCAATCAGATTTAAGCTTAAATCAAGAACCAAGCCTCTTAATTTGAGCGGATTTCCTTTTGATTTAAGCTTAAATCTGATTGAATCAAGAGTCCGTTTTCTTGTCAATGTTTTCAAAAGTCTGGACTCTAGATCCAATGTGTTTTTTTTCCGGTGTTGATTATGTTTTGCCTGAAATTTGGCTTTTACGAGGTACCAGGCATTTTGGATTGGTTTCCGATCGATTGACTGGTGAAAGACGACGACGCGACGGTGAAGTTCTCCCCCGGTGGTGACCTGATTAGTGGCCGAGGGTGCCTTTAATGACTCGCCGAACTTGAGTTAATTACGCGCCCCCCGCGCTCGGCGGAGAGCTAATCACTGGAGCAAGGTCGCCACGCATCAGACATCACCCCGCGCAAAAAAACTGCACCTTGACCTTGCGCCACGCCGTGTTTATCAATCAAAGGTCGCGGTCGGATTTACGAGCCTCCGGGAGGGTGGCGCTCACAAATTCAGGATAGGGATCCCTTCGTTTACCTCGCGGTGGGCTGAATATACACTCTAAATAGAATAGACCGTATTCGATAACGGTTCGATGTATCGTTTGGTTCAAAACAATACAACATAACCTCAAACCAAACTTTAAGGATTTAAGTTGGAAAAGCTGAAAATGAGAAATTTCCTGACAATTTCACTTTGCATTGGCACTTGGTACTCAAAAGAATAAAAAATCTGTTACAAAAGACCCGTTCTCTCAGATTTCTGAATTTACTTTTGAGGCTATGTTAATGTTTTGAACCAATCGATATCGATACGATCTCACCCGTTTGATGTATCGAATACGATCTATGTCGCTTCGACATCCGAAATCTTGACTATAGCACTTTTTTTAAAGGCTTAATTCAGGGTTGCCATAAAATTTAGAAAATAAAATTCCCTGACAATTTCCTGATTTCTCTGTCGCATTTTTTGGTAAAATTCCTTGACAATTGAGGATATCAGCGGTGTAAGTCGGCAATCACATAACTCGATTTGCGACGTCGTCGCAGACTTCCTGTCATAGTTTAAACTGAAAACTACTCAACGGCAATTCTTTAAAACTGCCGTGATTTTTCTTCTCTGTGTGAGGAGGAAAGATCGGAATGTGCAAAGCCTCTCATAACCAACGAGGTATATTTCTGTAACTTTGGCCACCCACTCAACTGCTGAAAATGAGTAAGCTCAATTTTATCCACACATCTAACTCTGAATTTTAATAATATTGACGTTTTCAGTTTGTAATTAACACAATTACCTATATTTAACGGGCAACAGAGGGATTTCTCTTGAATACTAATGCAGGTACACGTCAGGTATACTTCAAGTCACGTTGGGCTGTGAGTATTGAAGGGCATACAAATTATCTTTCTTAATGAGCTCTAAATAGATGCAGTCGTCACGTTATCGAGTGAAGATGGCCTCATAATTGGGCGTATATTTATGCTAAAAGGAACTATGTGCATAGGTTTTACGTGCGACATAGTTCCTTTTAGCATAAATCCGTCCAATTGACCCTCAAATGGCATTGTGTGCAAAAACCCTTAAGTTTTGATTTTTAATCCTTAGAGTACCTGAAGGATCATTTAAGCAGCCGTGAGATGATTTCCCCTTGAATTTTTCAGTCCACTGATTTTGAGTTCTGAAAAAAGAACTCGATTCTGATCATAAGATTCAGACGGGTACCTCATTGTATTGACATTTTATGAGCCTCTCTCTAAATTTTTTAATGATAAAAAAATACGCCTATTTTGCATTACTTTTAACATAGGCCGTTTTTCATTGAAAAATTCTAAGTAAGTCATGCAGTTTAAGCGGTTCAATAATCTTTTCCAGCTTATGTCTGACACATCATGGCCACGGACAATCAACAGATGTTGAAGCACCGGGCGTTATCTGTCACGACAAACACGAGATAATGCCACTTCGGAAGTACTGCATCGATTTGGTGATTGGTGCCCTTTAGCAGTGCAACATTACGAATGGATAGGTGATGAAAAAATGAAGAACGAATGCAAGCTTCGAACGGGCTTTGAAAATTTAGCAGAGTTTTAATCTCTCGAGTAAATATTAAAAAAGTTGATGCGATAACTTTCGAGAGAACTTTCGTGCTCTTTCTGTAGCAGAGTTTAACTTTTACCTATATTCCTCCGTTGAGTTATACAGGGTGTCTCAAAAAAAGGAGCATCCCTGAGATTTTCAGGAACAGGGGGCAAATTTTAAAAAATGGTAAAACACAAACCTATTCCTTTACAGGAAGGGGCACCTTCTCTTGATATTTAGAAACTTGGTACACCAGAGGTAACTAAAGAAGGAGGAAGTGCGTGGTAAACCTCCCCCCCCACCTCCCCCACGTATTTCGAAATGTTCAAGTAGTGACCCCCTTCTTTTAATAAATCATTTTAAAATGATTATCTGTATAGAAAATACTTGTAATCATCTCGTTCGGCAGCTGATTTCTGAACTCCTCATTGTGTGGATATGTTTTTATGAAATACTTTGGAAAAATACATGCGCTTTTTTGGTCTTTCTTTCTTTCTTTCTTTCTTCCTTTGAGAGAGGATATTTTGGGAAAATTTTGAACGATTTTAAGCTCGAGATAGTGCTTCCGACTAAAAAGCTAAATCATGTCTAGTCCCTGACACAGAGATAATGTTACCACTAATAATTCGATGTATTTATGCCGAAAGAAACTATGTGCATACAGGGTTTGCGTAGGACATAGATCTTTTTAGCATAAACACGTCCAATTAACGGCACCATTGCACTTGTTGCCAGATGAATTATTTCAGCTAAATACCTCATACATACGGCAAAAGATTCTCAGATTGGTCGTAATTTATCTAACCTTGTCATGCAACATGGAATTTGCAATCCTCTTTTCTTGGAACTACAATAAGCATAGCTGAACTGGTTCTCTTCAGCTGACAGCGCGATCAAATTGCAAACGGATAGGAAAAAATCCGAGGTCAAGATGCGAGAAATATACGCAGAGAGGTCACTCCAGATAAGTTCATCTCGATGATCATTATCTGCATGCTTTCCTGGGCACCCCAGAGGAGATATATTTTGAGAAATTAAGGTAAGTATAGCATGCGTGATCAAGTATCCATAGACTTTATGGGTTGCAGGCTATCATATAGCCGATCGTAAATATCTTACAACGTGAGTTTGAAGGACGACTGTGAATCCAGTAAAAAATTCCTACTTGCGCGCAAAATAGGAGACAATGAAACTTTTCGAGCACACCTTTTGAAGCCTTCTCAGCGTAAGCTCAAAGCTCAGTTCAAGGCTCCATTCTAATTATTCCCTTTTTAAGATGACAGCATAACGAAGTGTAAACCCCAAAACGGGACACTGTCCATCAATTGTTCCGCAACCGACTGGTCGTCAATCGCATCCAAGTCACGACAACGTGCATGCAGAGTATAAATTCCATGACGAAATCAGATTTGTTTCTTCTTTTTTTCCCCTCCCATCTCAGTTCAGGAATCTTAGTTAAAGGTGTTAGATATCTGCGAGGAAAATGGCTGCGTGATTTAACCAATCTTTTACGGATGATCTCTCAATAAATATAATTGTAAGACGTTTCACGTTTCTACGTCAAATATTGAGGAAGATATCGCTTTTTAAAGGGTCCAAAAAATAAACGAACGCGTTCGCGAATAACAAAGTTGCCAATATGTTTGTGTGGCACACAGATAGGTTGTTCATAGCGAGCGT